ACTTAATATATAATAATTCTTAATTCTCCTTTTTCTGTAATTTCGTTTCGTATTGGTAACGTTATGTATAATATTATTTTCTACGTTCGTATCAATTCGTCAAAGAATCTCACATTCTATGATATCTGGATGTTGTTTTGTTTGTATGACGTCAAGTCAGAGTTGCGCAGATAATGCCGAAGCCGAACACGAATATGCTCACGACTAACAGGCGTGAACCAGCACATAGAGTTCGGGCTTTTACGCTTACGTAGTAGTAAAATGGTGCTTTCCTGAAGATTTCGAAACCGTTTTTAGCATTTTTAAACTCAAAATTGGAATATGTCCAGGTAATTAGTAGTTAAATCGTCTGATAAATATTCATAACTTGTATGTTATATGATTCACAATTACTCGCTATAATATGCTTGGTTATTGACCAAGGTCATGACGGACGATCCAAATAAGAATAATCCATATTGTTATTAATTAATTTTGTATTATTGTAGGCACAATAAAAGACTGATTTAACGTCAAATTAGACAATTATTTAATTATCTGTTATACATATATTGACCATAAATCAGAAATTAGTAATTAGTGCACGTATATATTGCACAACAATAATAATAATCATATTATTTCAGGTACCTATGAAGATCTAATCTAGGAATGAACCTGAATTAGCACGGGGTGCTGTCCAGCGGTAAGTCTGCTTGAAAAATTAAATAATTCTTGCTATAAAGTTGGTAGGGGAGAGTCCGGCAGTACCGTCACCTTAAGGTTTTTTTGGAATAAAAAAAAATACCTTAACTTACATGTTCAGTATATGTTGTTATTTATTAAGAAATAATTAACTTTAGAAACAAAATTGTGAAACAGGGAAAAACTTATATTAAAGAAATTGGCCTTCAGTACCGGCCAGTACAAACATCGCCAGTTATATAATGCAATAATCGCAAATGTATTGATTTGAGAGTTCCGGTACGTTTGCACAAGCATCATGAATCGAAATTTTACAAATTCGTGGGATTCGAGGCACAAAGGACAAATTGTCTTTCCCTGGGTTGGCGTACTGGGTGGGTGGGACTGCTCTTATTAAACTAGTAGATTCAGAGGTCCGTAACGACAAAAAAAAACTTTTGGGTGTTTCGTTCCCACCAACCAGTAATGCTGGTGGGCGGGCAGTCCCACCGGACTATGCCGGAAGGTAGGGCGGAAGGCCCTCTTCAGCCTGCTTTCAGGAATCGTGGGAATGGGTGGGTGGTGGTTCGGGTGAGAAAGATGAGACGGACGAAATGACGACAGAAGAGAATGAGAGATTATCTGTGGAATATTACTGCCCCAGCATTTGCCAAAGTGATCCAAGGAAACCACAGAAAAACTTGGACCAAGGCAGACGGACCGGGAATCGAACCGGCGTCCTCCCGAATGCTAAGCAATGGTCTAGACCTCTAGGCCATGGCGCTCGGTGTAACGACAAATCGCCATGTATCTTCATAAAAGAATAATAGTAATTCTTTCCCCTCACATTTCTTTTCTTTATTAAATTGATGTGGTAATTTTAAATTCTCAGCAAGTTGAAAGGACAATTTAAGAAATTCCTGATTGTTCAAAGGCATTAGCCTTTTCGCCAAATCTTTGACATGCTCCGCCAATATTTTTTTATGTTCGGGTGAGAAAGTTTTGTGAAAACGCCCAATGAATGGCTTTAAACTGACCTCTTTATTTTTTTTATAGAACTAATTCTGTCATTCAATGTAGTTCTTGGTATCTGATAGCGATCTGCAGCTTGACGTGCACTCATCTCATGGAGCACCTTTTCTACAGCACAGCTTTGTGCATACTGTCAGGATCCCATGTGCCCTTCTTTTTTTTTCGTTTCTCTAGTATAATTTAATTGCTTGGCACCATAACGTATCTAAAGCAAGTAAATGTAGTCAGTAATTAGTTTATTGTTAGTGGCCGGTACTGGAGGAAAATTTTGTGGCCGGTACTGCAGGAAACAGGTTATATTATTATTTGCAAAAGAGACAAATGTTGGACGCGCAAGTGGTTATCACATTATACATTTTTAAAAGCTACATAATTTGTCAATACATATCAGGTTTTACTTTATTACAACTCGTCCAAAAAACTTCAGAAATCAACCACGGAGTTTTTGTTATGCAATTTTGGTCCACGAGGCGCCACAGTAATCATTTCACTGACAATTAACTGGTGGTGACAGCTTAGCTGCGCGGGAGATAAATACTTGCGATTGTACACTAAACAAACGAAAAGAGCTTTGACAACGCCATCGGGTATGTAACTTTAGAAATGGTACAGAATGCCGGCCAGTACTGTAGGACTTTCCCCTAATTCTTTCGTAAATTGTTGGTATTTTTCGGAAACTATTGAAATAGTTTTTATTCATATTCCTACCTTTTTGGACAAAGGAGAGGGAGGAGGGGTATTTAACCCTTGCACTTTTTTATCCTGCAATTTTATTATGAAATTATTAAAAACTGTATACTACTGTTTCGGATATGTCATGTACATATTTGGAAACCTATCGCTGCGCACAATTTCGGGGAATCCCCGGCTTGAAATAAAAGAGCGCTAAACCGAAACAGTGCTAAGCAAAACAGCGTTAAGCGGGGTCTTACTGTATATGGAAAATATTATTTGGATTAGCTATCATACTATTAATATCATGAGAAACTTTTGCCATCCTCGCAGGATTATTGGATTGGTAAATATCTAACTTTTCCCAAACTTATCCAGGTACTAATCATCTAAATAATCTTCATGTACCTATACTAATTTATATCAATCAATTAATGGTTATTGATTGACGTTACATAACATCCATCGAAAGTATATATGGAAGGACTATGTGCAATACGAATATTATGTTGACTTCAAATAAATTGAGATGAAGTCAGGGAGGGAACGTGAATATGAATAACCCTGGGCTAACACTACTTTGGGGCTTAAGTACCATTTTACCAAAAACTATTTTCTTAAAGATAGAGAAGAAACAGAGCAATTGTTTGTAGTTGTGTTATATAAACTATAAAGCAATTATATTTTTTTTGTTTTCTAAATTCACAATATTATCCATTGTCTTCAATAGGGGCTGGGAGACCTTTATATCCATGGAGTCTCAGTGGTGTAGCGTGAATTTCTGTCACCCGGGGGGAAGCCTAAATTTGCCACCCTTCCTATTTTCACAATTAAGTCACTGCGGGGCCTAAAAGCCCATATGTATATAGATCCGACTCTTTCTTCCACGCACATGGTTAACATTTTCTCCAATATTTTAAGTTCAACATATTAATTAATCAGTTCACAATCATCAGGTACACCCCGTTTCCTTTTTGAAATAATGGACCAACCCTAATTATAATAATTACCTACATGTCTATAACTTCCCTGTGTTGATCTAATAAGTATGTTACGTATTGCTATTATAATAGGCGGGAGATTTGTGAAACTATCCAAATAACGACGATGAGAGGTGATGTCGGCGTCGATTCGGTTGTGGACGCGGAGGTGGTGACACAATGGGGTGGTAGACAGAGGGGGCTGGGGGGGGGGGCTAGCCAGGGCTAGAACACACCATCTAAATCTAAACCCTTACATATTACACGAGTCGGCGACCAGAATATTTACTGCCGAGATTCGCATTTTGCTGGCAGCATATACAATGTTAGTTATAGTTCGGAAATGATTTAAAGTGGCCCTTAATGGGCCAATAAATAGGGCCGTTTCAATACGCGACAACGATCATAGTCGCTGCCATACATTAGAGGGTAACATAGGAGAAAATCGAGGCTGGACTGTGGACTAGGAGGAAGGATGGGTATACGGGGGGTGCAATCATCTATGCTCGTATACACACGTAGCAGTTGCACACATATGTGTAACGTACAAGTCTACGTATGTATGGCGTTAGCTTTGTTCTTTGTATAGAAACACAAAATATCTAGGCGCTAGCTGGGTCGTTAATTAATAGTTTGGAAACAATGTGACCAAAACATCGACGTGGGTGCAGGGATGTTTTATTAATTTCTTATGCGATGACTTTCGACCTGACAGAATAATGTAAGGAGTCTAGGAAAAAAGGATATAGGTATACATCTTTATTTTGAATTATTGGTCACAAAATTTGAAACAAATAAGAGAGGCACTAGTGACTAAAGGAGCTGAAGAATCTGAGGAACCACTGCACCGATTCTAAAAATTTTTGATCTAATAGGTTGCTACACCATCTTAAAATCCGTATGAGGGTAACCTTAACTTATGATTTTCAAAATAATTTATTCCAGCCTCTTAACTTCAAGTGGACTAAAAAGTCATTACATATTAACGTTTTGAATTTGTTTACTGTATCGTGTCTCTAAAAGTGCCTACAGATTAGAGATGATCCGGGTACTCGGCGGATCCGGCACTTTTTTTAGGATCCGGCCGGATACCGGATAATAACGCCTGGTACCTGACAGTACCGGGTAGTTCTACCAAAGAAAAAAGAGAAACAAACACCAGAAATAATAATTTGTACTAAACCTAATGAAATTCAACAATTAATATTGTATTGGGTTGGGTCGTTTGTCCTAATTTCTATTATTAATTGATTTCTATACTAAATTACTTGTTATTTCGATATAGTTCTTGTGTTTACTTCTTATCGTGAACAAAATAGGTCAGTATGGCCGAATTGTTAAAATTTCTGTCTCTTACTGGTATATCAGGTTTTGATTAACGATAACTTGTCAGTATGATTTTGACACCTTGCAGACTTTTAGTGTCTATAAACATTATAGGCTCGTTTCAACTCAACCCTATCGTTGAAAATCCGCCAATCAAGAATTAAAATTTCATTGGTTTAATTTCATTTAAAAAAAAATCTTAACTAGAATTGCGCAGAGGACGATGGAAAAAAGGGCAAAAGAACTATTAGGGGAAGATCAGTTTGAGTTTAGAAATAGAGGAACACGGGAGGTCATTCTAGCTTTACGGGTAACAATAGAGAAAATGATAGAAAAAAGTAAGAGGGCGTACATAGGATTTGTAGATTTAGAAAAAGCTTTTGACAATGTTAAATGGGACAAGATGTTAAATATACTTAAAAATGTAGGGATGAGTTACAAAGATAGAAGAGTGATACTTAGTTTGTATAAAGAGTAACAGAAAGTTATAGAGCTAGGGCTGCAACGTAGAGAAGTAAATATTAGTAAGGGAGTCAGTCAGTGCATCCCCACTGTCATCGATACTTTTTAATTTATACATCGAAGACGCGATTAACATCATTAAAAACACTACAACTGTAGGGATAGATATACAGGGCAAAAGATTAGTATGCTTAGATTTGCAGATGATATAACAGTATTAGCATCTAGCAAGGAGGACTTAGAGATAGCTTTAAATAAAATGGAAGCGGTACTGATAGATCAGTATTGTATGAAAATAAATAAAAGTAAAACTAAAATACTGGTATGCAAGGGAAGAAAAAGTTTGGCAAGAGCGAATATAAAGATAGGAGACGAAAAATTAGAAGAAGTGACTGATTTTAGATATCTAGGAAGTCAGATAAGAACGGAAGAAGTAGTAGGGATATAAAATAGAGGATAGCGCAGGGTCGAGTCGCTGTTAAAGGTGAATATTGGAGCGCGGCACTGTACGAATGGGAATCAAGGACGGTGGAAAGAAAGGAAAAGAAAA